AAAATATAGCTTGTAAGAAAGAAAAACAACGATATCTTCCTCATCGGGAAGTCGTAGATAAAGATGAAAATAGTTGTGTAGATGTATGTAACCCATAAGCTGGAGGATCACTTAACATTACATTCACAGTCCCTTTATACATGTATATATATATATATATATTATGTAACCCATAAGCTGGAGGATCACTTAACATTACATTCACAGTCCCTTTATACATGTATATATATATATATATATATATATANTTTATTCCTTTTGGTTTCCTGGTTCTCATTTCTCAGTTAAATTTTAAAAGTTATTATCAAGAAAGGTTAAACAACATGCCCCCCCCCCTCCAAAGCTTGGGGTTTCTTCAATTTATGTGAAGGTTGAGAAATGAGGATCTATGGTTTTACCGCTTGTAATCCAGGTTTTAATCAACACATAATCTAATTTACTCTACTTCTACTCTACATCAATTCCCTTAATAACATAGACCTCTCCTACCTCTCCTACCTTTATCTCTCCTTCCTCTTCCTCTCCTACCTCTCAAACCTCTACCTACACATCTCCTGCCTCTTAAACCTCTACCTACACCTCTCCTACCTCTCAAACCTCTACTAACATCTCTCCTACCTATACTTCTCCTACCTATACCTCTCCTACCACACAAACCTCTTCCTACACCTCTTTTACCTATCCTACCTATACTTACACCTCTCCTACTTTGATACTTACCTCTCTTTTTACCTCTTCAACCTATTGCTTCTATGCAATTTCCTTTTATTACTATCCTAGTTAGACTAAATCTAATTCCGCCGACTCTATTTCTAGAATACTTTTCCTAAAACTATTTGAGAATTTAGTTTTTAAACTAGATTTATCTTTGTAATATTCTATAAATGGGAGTTTCAACACAATTATAAAATTAACATTTTCCATATAGATTAAATCTTGATCAAGAAATACATATTAACTAGGAACTACCATATCTGATATATCAAATATGTGTACTGCATGCAGTAGGAGGAGATCATGAGCAGATCAAACCCAGAGATGAAGAGTTACAGAGATCTATTAACACCTATAATATGCGATATTTTCCCCAGCATGTTCTATTGTGTACAAGTACTGAACACGACCAATCATGAGACGTCTGCATTCAGGGATATTTAAGGATCCTTTGAATAGGAAATGCAAAATCTTTAAAAATAGACAATATTCATAAACGATATGTTTTATGTTTAAAATTGGAGTATTTCTTTAAAGTTGTAAAACTTAACCCCTGAATGCAACAAGTGGCCGTCAGATGTCAGTCAAAAAACATTACATGGAACCGTAGCATGGCGTGCTGGGACACAATAGGCCTGCTCAGCCTATCCAAGTAGAGTGTATGAACGGTCTGTGTTGTCTGTGAATCAAAACAAAGTGTACAAAGCTCAGGGGAAAACCAATACCTTCCCTTCACAGCTTGCTGACATTGCCCCCGGAGAGTTCGGTTCAAAGTTTGCGTACATTTGATATACTTGATATTGATGTTACAACTAATCTATTTCATAAAATGAAAAATAAAGATAAAAAAGCAAGACATGCCAATACAGGGGCGTACAAGAGCATTTATGTAAAGGGGGGGGGGGCGTCACTTTTTTGAAAAAAATATATATAACTTTTTTAAATATGTAAACTATTCGTTCATATACACACTTCCATATAATAAGTGTTAATAAATTATTTATGTAATTTTCTTAAGTGGACTCATCATACACTTCCCCTTATTACTGTGGTGTAAGCTTCAATGGGTGAAAAATAGAGATGAAAGCGTTTCTTGAAAAATATCTATATTTTCATAGAAACAATAAATATTATAAATCATTATTATAAATAATGATATTAAAGATATATTTACACTGAAGGCAGTATTGAATAATGCTTTTTTAATGAAACTTTTTTAGTTAAGGGCAAAAGTGAGATTTTTAAAGTATTTTTTATATAGGTGCCCCCCTTAGGGGGGGGGGGGCACGCACGATGAGAGCACTATTTCACATTGATCCTTATTCTCCACTAAAACAATCAAGGTTGGTTTTATTTTCATTGGACCTAACTCCTGACCTAACTCCGTCGAGTCGAGCCTAAGATTTCGCAGCTGTCAATGACGTGACACAAGCTGTCGTCAGAGTTGGGTCTAAGATTGGGTCTTCAAGCTAGGTGTAAGGAATCACGACCCAAGCCGAAGCTTAGGTTACTAGCTTCAAATTCTACCACCATTTTTTTTGCAATAGACTTTCAAGTCTATTTTATAAAAAAAATACGTTTGAAAATAATCAATTGTAAAATAAAACACTAGGATATCCTTTTCATTGTTTATTACACAAATCATTAATTTAAAATCGTCCAATTTTGTATCATACAATATTGATATTTTTTTGCTCCAGCTTTAAATTTTTGACACCTTAAAACTTGGCATTTAATAAAAAAGAATTTAAAGAATTTTGTGTAAAATATTGAGTAGGGCACATCCACGTAGGTACGGTTGGTGATTCAAAAACATATCTAAAATGGCGCGCAAAGAAGTGCTTCTAAAATCTCCCTAGCGTTAAAGTTAGAGGTTTTCTTTGTAAAAATGATCTTGCCTTGAAAAATCTGGCTAAAAACATGTAATGCATCCTATGTATACTCCAAGACGTTTTTTACGGGAGGGGACGAAGAAAGCCCCCCCCCCCCTCCCCGTTAAGTAACATAATACACGGATCAAAGTAAACCCGTTAAATTTTTGTATCTAAGTAATATTTAGTAATCTACTAGCTCTTCTGATGTATGTATAATACATTATAAAGATTTTAAAAATGATGATAATAATGATAAAAAGGATATGTCTTTTAAAATATGAGTTTACCCCGGAGTGCATTATAAAATTCCTTGACTTTGTTTAAAACTCCCAAATTGATTTAATAACATATTTTTGCAATATTTCTAGAAATTCATCAAAATTGAACTCCTCAAAGTTTTAGGAAACTTTCAAGAGAAACAATTTCTCTTGAAACTGCCAGGATAATTATCTAATTGAATAAAGCAAGTACTTTAAACTCCAGAGGAAATATAAAGGAATTGAATCTTTGTCACAAACTCTGATTTTCAGATCCCTATATCTCTGCAGCAACCCAATGTCGTAGATATTAGATGTTTCAAACTATAAACCCTGTTAGATTAAATATTCAAAGTTTGAATATCAAACGTCTACATTATCAGGTTGTAAGATATAGGGATACGAAAACTTATGTTTGTGGCAAAGACTCAATTCCTTTGAACAGTTTAAAACTCGTCTTTTCCATTCGCAGCAATTGATATTTTCATCATTTAAATTTTACTTACAGAGATTGTATACGTAACTGTTATTTATTGAATGGTATGTCTGATTCACAACATTACCTTTAAAAGCTTTGTCAAATCATAAATGTATGGGATATTCATATTTTTTTTTCTAAAGATTGATCTTTTTTTAATTGTGGTTTTTTACCTTTAAAACAAGTGTCAAATTAGAATGCTTTTAAAGTCGCATATTTTTGAATGATCATTATGGACTTCTTGAGAAAAAAATTTGTATTTCAAATTGCTCTTGACAAATATTACTTAACAAACAAACTTCAAGTTTTTGCCAGTGTCACTTAACAAATGCACTTTTGGGTAGGGTAATATTTTCTATACGACATTCTATACTTCATGCTTGCTCTAACAACATCATGGCCTGTCCCAGCATTAACATTTGGTCGGATAGCATCAGCCCTCAGTACCCTGTTGTGCCCGGCTGTGCCTCACATAGGCAGTAGGCACTGCCAATCAGGGGGCGGAAACGTCATGTATGTGTGTCTGTGCCAAAAGAGTGTGTGTAAGTTATACCGAACCGAAGCTTAAGGCGTGTACTGTAGGTATATACAGTACATAAGAATCTCGGTATTTGTACAGTCTAGGAGATATTTGTTTACTTAAAAATAAGTTTAATATACATGTAATATATTATTTATACATTTAAGTCAACACTAGAAGCCAAATATTCATGCAAAGAATATGATTTGAGTAAAGTTTACAATAAACTACTCGTTATTTAAGCTTATAATTATAATTGACAACATTATTCTGCGATTTCCTTGACTGTAGTCATGTTGTGTGTCTGTACCAAATGAGTGTACGTGTGTAATAACGAACTCGTCTGCAAAGCAGTGCGACTGGCTTTCTCATGCCAGACCAGCGTCATCTCCCTTTCCTTTATTCTTATTCCTTGTGCCTAATTTACAATTTACGTTTTTTACATACTGTCGTCGTTGCATGAGTAAATACATTGAAGACGACTTTCAATTTCAATCAAGCTTTCAAACAGTATAAACATGGAAACAAAATTGTCTTCCTTGTATTGATATAAACACCGACCATAATTACAAATATTATTATATTACCGATATAAGATTACGCAATTACGATAGTAGCAAAATAAATGTCATTACATTCGTTTATAAATTAGACCCGTTCATGATATAAACATTGTTTAATAAGGATAAAATTATCTTAGCCTAAGTTTCATGTGATAATATTTCAAAGAAATATGTCTCCTGGGGGGTATAAAGTTAAGTTTATGTCTTGGGTATAAATACAAATATAAATCCTGTCTACTATTTAAAAGGGGGGTGGGTTATAGTATAAAGTCTAGGAGGGGTATAAAGTTAAGTTTATGTCTGGGGTGTAAAAATAAATATAAATCCTGTCTTCTGTTATAAGGGGGGGGGGGGGTATATTTAGTATAAAGTCTAGGAGGGATATAAAGTCTAGGAGGGGTATAAAGTCTAGAAGAGGTATAAGTCTAGGAGGGGTGTAAAGTTAAGTTTATGTCCTGAGTATAAGTATAAATATAAATCCTGCCTACGACTCTTGTCGAGTATGAAGTCTAGGAAACTAATATTGATTAATTAATAGTTAAACCTCATGTAAACACTGCCTTTAAACTAGTTGCTGACCTCCTTGGGCCGTGGTTGGATATATATAGTATTTATCCGCTAATCAGGGATTAAACTTGGACCCGGAGCTGAAACTTAGAAAGTCGAAACCCGGAGAAACTGATTATCTCTGTTCAGTTGAAACTTGCAATATCGGATTTACATTTTACAGGTTTAAAACTTGAAATACTTAAATTTTCAACAAATTATGAGTTAAACCAGTTTTAGGGGGGGGGGCTGTATCAATGGTACCCCTTTTAAATTTTAAACCTTTATCTGATCAATAATGTGGAGTATATCTTTATCTGATCAATAATGTGGAGTATATCTTTATCTGATCAATAATGTGGAGTATATCTTTATCTGATCAATATTATAATCATTGTTTCTTCGGTATAAATTCCTTAATATAAAAACCACAATTGAAAATAATCATTTAAAAAAAAAGATGATATCTCGTGCATTGTTGATAGACAAAAAGCTTTCAGGGTTCATTGTGCATCGGATGTGCCACTTAATTCAGAAAGGGTCCTACGAAACTACGCCGAATTCGTCCAATTATGCAGATTTTGTTTCAATTTTTCAGTGTTTTTTGCACGTTGTCACGGCAATTCAAAATGACATCATTTCAATGAAAGAGTTTTGATGAAACTTTACAATCAGAACAGAGCTGAAAACTTTAGAATGGTGGATATAGAGATTAATGCTTGATCCTCACTTTTTTCTTTATCTCGAGACTAATCTAATCTTGTATTTGTATCCTAAAAAGTGTACAAAATTCAACCAATTAGAGTCGCGAATATGAAGCCGATAAATTTAAACTTTTGCGTGCCATTTAAGATTATATACAGAAACGGGAAGGACTCTCTAAATAAAAAAACGGTTTTTGATTTATCTCAGATTAAAATGAGATATGAGAGATTTATCTCCACTATATTCAAGAAAGAACGGTTTAAGAATAAAATCAAAAGTCCATTGGATACTCAGATTAAGCAATAGAGATTAAGGATATCTCATTCGAAAGTTTTCAGCTCAGGGCTCAAACATTGTTCTTTCCTAATTGAGACAAACAAATCTTGTTTAACTTGAAGAGAATCCAAAAAGTAAAAATACCTAAAACAGAACCCTGTGTTAAAACTGTTTCATATTATTAAGATATTAAGATAAAAAACATTGTGATTTTATTTCCCATACAATAAATTATAAAAGTCGTGGTTATAATTACATTATTATTATTAAACAAGAAACATTTAATATCTATTTGTTTTTCATTTTACAATGAAACTTTTGCACCAATTGTTACAAATAGATTAACATGTTTATATATATATATATGGTCCCGAACCTAAAAATATCCTTCGGACATAACAAATCCTTTAGAAATGAAAATCCTTTAGAAATACAAATCCTTTAGACATGTCAAATCCTTAGACATGACAAATCCTTTACACATGACAAATCTTTCATACATGATAAATCCTTTCGACATGACAAATCCTTTAGACATGACAAATCCTTTAGACTTAAAAATCCTTTAGACTTAAAAATCCTTTAGACATGACAAATCCTATAGACATGACAAATCCTTTAGACTTGACAAATCCTTTAGACTTGACAAATCCTTTAGACATGACAAATCCTTTTCACATGAAAAACCTTTCAAACATGAAAAATCCTTTCGACATGACAAATCCTTTAGACATGACAAATCTTTTAGACATGACAAATCATTTAGAATTGAGAAATCCTTTAGACATGACAACTCCTTCAGACATGACAAATCCTTTAGACATGACAAATCTTTTAGACATGACAATCCTTTAGACAGGACAAATCTTTTAGACAAAATAAATTCTTTAGAATTGACAAACTTTAGACATGACAAATCCTATAGACATGACAAATCCTTTAGACTTGACAAATCCTTTAGATTTGACAAATCCTTTAGACATGACAAATCCTTTACACATGAAAAACCTTTCAAACATGAAAAATCCTTTCGACATGACAAATCCTTTCGACATGACAAATCCTTTAGACATGACAAATCCTTTAGACATGACAAATCCTTTAGACATGACAAATCTTTTAGACATGAAAAATCATTTAGAATTGAGAAATCCTTTAGATATGACAACTCCTTTAGACATGACAACTCCTTTAGACATGAAAAATCCTTTAGACATGACAAATCCTTTCGACATGAGAACTCCTTTAGACATGACAACTCCTTTAGACATGAAAAATCCTTTAGACATGACAAATCTTTTAGACAGGACAAATCTTTTAGACAAAATAAATTCTTTAGAATTGACAAATCCTTTAGACATGACAAATCCTTCAGACATGACAAATCTTTCAGACATGACAAATCCTTTAGACATGACAAATCCTTCAGACATGACAAATTCTTTAGACATGACAAATCCCTTGGATATGAAAAATCCTTTGGATATGACAAATCCTTTAGACATGACAAATCCTTTAGACATGACAAATCTTTTAGGCATGACAAATCCTTTAAACATGACAAATCCTTTAAAAATGACAAATCCTTTAGAAATAAAAAATCCTTTAATTTTTAGACATGACAAATTCTTTGACACTAAAAAATTCTTTGGACATGACAAATCCTTTAGACCTAAAACAAATATTCCTGAAAAAATGGAGAGACATGATACTCGTCTAGATCTGTCCTGATGGATTATGAAGAAAGGATGAATCTAAACTATGGTGAAGGATAAGAATGCCAAATCAACAACTACTCGACAGGATTCGATCTAATGATGAAACTTTAAACAGAAGAAAAATCAGGTAGAACAAGTTGGTCGTTCTAAACTTAATCCTGATCCTGATCCTGATCCTAATCCTAATCCTGATCCTGATCCTGATCCTAATCCTAAATCCGATCC